ACAGATACTTGCTACATAAATTATGAAACTGCGATCATTATATTCAAAGAACCAATTCTGAATCTCGCAACATGCGTAATTATTTAACTGTTATCTCCAGTTGGCGAAATAGATGCTTACATGCATAAATCAAAAGCGTTATATAACTAACACTGAAATTCATTATTGTCTAAATCTGCATTATAAACCCTTCAAAATTACTAATCTTTCATTTATATTAGATATATACATACACACGCATATGGACACAGTATGAAGTATATTATAAAAGCAAGAAATCAATAAAGTGCAAATACATTCAAAAAAAGTCAAAATAGTGATTTGTATCACCAATATATGTACTGCGATGACTGTATATGAAAGGTTGTGGGATTGCTGACGTTGCGGTCACGTGCGATTATGACCTTACCAAAACAGAACGCAAGATGACCTTACCAAAACAGAACGCACGATGACGTCATAAAGGCTAAGCAAATCGAAGACAAAGGAACGTACAATATATATGTAAATACAAATTCACTCAAAATAACACTCAAATTTTCGAGAAAACTGTAACACATTATTTTATCAAAAAAATTAAATTACTATAAACTCACGCAAAAATAAATTAAAAATATGCTTAAATAACAATGTGCAAAATAATTTTTATACAGTAAAATAATGTCGCAATTTTTATATTCTTTTTATTGAAATATAGGATAAAATTTAATACACTTCGGGAAATAAAATTTACTCTTAATAGTTCTTGTACTACAAACGTGACTTAAAATCTTTTTAAACAATGATAACTATATTTTGATCTATTATACTCAAAATCACTTCTTATTTAGCATTTCCACAAAACTCTCCAGTAGTGCTAGTAACATTTAAATTACATAGATTTTAACACAACCCCTTAGGACCAAAACGAATGACGCACCGGTTGAGCTCGAGGATACAGCCCTGCACCAGTAGTTGTTGGATATGGTGTAGCACTACTATTAGAAGTGGGTTGTGCATACTGCTGCTGTCGCAAAATCGCTAACAGTCTTTCCGATTTGATCTTCCTGCATGATTAAAACAAAAATAAAGTACTATATAGCTTGATAAAGAATATAGTGCTCGCCACATGTTATATACCTAACTATCTTGTTTGCCCACTTTTTTTAAGAATCCCAAGTTGTTGGGCACAATACAAAGATATTCCACACAAAAAGTCTAAGAAGAGAATCTGACCTCATATGAGCGAGAGTTTTTTTCTCAATAAATACTTTCAGAAACTGATCCACTTCTATTTCGCCATTTAAATACTGATCAGCAATTGCCTGAAATAAAAGCCATGTAAACTTAATCTTGACTGTTAATGTCACACTTAGAACGAAGGTCTGAATTAAAACTTTACAAAAGTTATAATAGTGGCAATTAAAAACTTGAAAATAGTTACAGTGCTCAACTAATATTAGGAATTAACTTCCTATCTGTCAGTGATTGCAGGAATCATTGCAGTTGAAAGCATTAGTGATGCATAATAAGAACAATTTTCATTATGTATCTAAGACAAACATGTCGAAAGCAATGGATTTTTAGAACCTACAAAGCAGCAGCTTTTTTGCAGCACTCAAATTTTCGTAATAATAAAAAAATTAATCATGTGCCATGAGAAATACAAAAATTAGCGAATAACGTCAAACAGATGACCAAATATTTCGATTAAAGAAGCAGTTCAAAAAGTATTTACATACTCAAAAATGGAATTTTTACGAATTACTTAAGCTAATTTGCACTGCTTCATGAAATCTGAATTATTACTTCACTTTCGTCATCAGCCGACTGCGCAGCAGCTTGCAACAGCACACTTGATGTGTCTAATGACTTCTCATCAGATAAAAGATCTAAAACATGTATTAATGTACACTAAATTTACACCAATTTTCTATTTTATACAACTTTTCGTGAGATCTACATCATAGATGATTGTTGTGTAGTTTATCACACCGTTTATAGAGTCTAGAGCTTGAATTATTTTTGCTATTATAAGAGAAATCTACGTGCTATACACAAATAATACTGCTATCATCTGTGTGAAATTTTATTCTTTTCAAAGATCTGAATAACTTGCCCAGTTGTTTCTTAAGCTCCATTACTTCGTCTTTCACCTTGACAGCTTCATTATAAGTAGTTTGTAAACGTTTTTTAGCTTCATCAATTTTAGGCTCTTGCGATAAATTCCATTCAGCGAGCGATTTGTTTTGCACTAGAACCATCTCACGTTCAGTTGGCAAAGCTTTGACCTAAAAAAATCAGCCATAAAAAAATTCTTGAACTATTTTCCGCATGGTTAAAAAAAAATGGTACTGAAAGCTTAGATGAATAATTTAGATTTTACATAAGTTAATTTAAATTATGTCAAATACTTAATCACAAACACATAAACTAAATAACTTTTATCAATCTTTGACACCGAAAAATGCTATGTAATCAGAACTTATGCGCTGAATCTCAGAAGAAAAAACAATACAGAAATTTGAATTACGTTTGATATGCCATTAATAATATTATCAATTTTTTCATCTCCATCATCCAGCAACGCTTTTACGTTATCGTACTTCATGCTCTTAACCGTAGCCATTGCTTTTGAAACACATGTATCCAACAATGATTCATACAACACATCAGCCATATTATCAATAAACTAAAACAAAAATAATCATTCAACTTTTAAATTCCGACCATCAACCAGTTCCTCATTTGCATAAATTTGGATTCCTCCACTAACCAGTTAATTCAAAAATAATGCAATCAGAAGGAATACTATCAAATTCTCAGATCAAGCACAAAAAATACCGAGGTTAGTAATAAAAGCAAATTACATCCTGACGAAAGAGCTTTCAGTTTTGGAAGGAAAGACTTCTTCACTCTTACATCTAATGATGAAAATCCATTACAGACTCACGAACATACTACTTTTCATGAATAATGAAACGATAAACAAATATTTAATCATTAAGCAGTAACAACATGAAAATGCTGTAAAAGAACGCAATGAAAGTATCGAAGATTCAACCCTCACTTTCATATCAATAAACAAAATTCTGTGGATCTATTTATATAAAAAAAAGAGTGCAACAAAACCTACAAGTTACAAATACACGTACGTGTACACCACACCTAATACAGTAATTTACTCGTGAAAGATGTGAAAGTTATGCAAGTTTTAGACTTGATAGCACACAGCACTATGCTCAACAAGTACAACAATCAAATTAAATTCAGATTAATAACACGAGCAAACTACGCCCTTACTGTACAGAACTTGTAATCCCTTTTTTACTTAGAGCACAGTAATCTTTTATTTGAAGCACAGTAATCTTTTCTTTATTTAGAACAAAATACTCTATATTGCAAATTATCTGAAAATAATTAGAAGTATTATTCCCATAAACTATAATGGTAATATCACACTGAACGAATGCAAAACTGGGATACAATACGATCTGCTTACCATTATTCAGATATTTAGGGATTCCGTATACCATATCTATTGAATAAATGTATGGTTGGTTGCTTACAATTACTTTAAAAAAATGGATATATGAAATGAGATGAGATCAAAAAATTGCATAGCGACTTTAGTTTAATAACACAAAACAGTTTTTGAAAACCGCAGGTTCACATTTAGTTTGTCGTAATAATGTATTTGGAAAAAACGTGTTAAATTTGTACAAAGTATTTTAGTTAATTAGTTACTTGAGTTCATATCTCTGCTAGATTACTGTACTTCAGTTCCTTTTTTTCAACTACTAGTAAATATGACAGATTTCATTGAAATGTTAATTTGCATGTCAGTAATTTGCATAAAAAATTGAAATCTGTAATATTATGTATATTTTGAGTTATGCGGAATTTAAAAGTTCGATCTGCAGTTGTTATCAATACTGAGTTGTCTAAATCCTACGGCAAAAATGAGAAAGACACGCTGTGCTCACCACTTCCTTCTTCTAATGGTTTGTTTTTAAGTTAATAATTTATTCTGATGAATCATAAATTGTAATAACTTTGGCTAATTTGCATTTATATAATTTTATTACTTTTATAAAATATAGACTGCTAAAAATGAGTGCAAATTATATATGAATGTGTTATATTTTGTAAATCCCATCAATAATTCTGTGAGAAACCTTGCTTCAATGAACTTTACAAAGTAGTAATATAAGTAGTTGAACAGATTTCTTTTTATACGCTGTTTTCATATTTTTATGAATAAAATGTTCAAATTCTGTGTCAATGTACTAACTGTTGTGTAATTTTAGATGTAGAAGCGGTCTGTATTAGTATTGAAAATAAGATCTTTTGTGCTTGCAAAGCTGGAGTCTATGACTTGTCATCTACAATGCCTGTACGTTTATCTTTTGCAGGATAATTTTAATCTTTATGATTATGTTAGTTCCAAAACGTTATAGGGAATTTTTTTCTTTCTCCAAACTTCTAATGATAAATGACGGCATTAGTTGAATTATGTTATGAAATAAATTGGTCAATTCAAAAGCTTTTGCTATGAATTTTTTTCCTTCTTTATTTCATGACTTTTTTTCCGTTGTTCATTACATAATAACTGTAATGAGTTATTAAAAATAGCTATCCTTTTTGTGACAAATTATCATAACGTATGGAAATAAATGGCACATAGATGTCGTATGTACTTATCAAAAATCCATTATTAAAAATTTATTTCTGACTTATTGCATCTAGTTTTTGGTGTTTTGTTGCATTTTAAAACGATGAATTAATATCATTTCTATTAACTGGCGTTGAATTATTATTGAGATGTCGTCTCTTTTTAGCTATTTCTGGAATGGTCACAACAACGTAATGGAGCCGAGCTCGTTTCTTTTGATCATCTTAGTGATGAATATGTCTTATGTGCTGTATTTTCCTCAGGAGTAATCCTAATTTTGGATCTCGGAAATGGAAATGTTTGTTTATAATGTTGTTGGCGTGAAATTTGTTTGTCTTTATGTTCAAAATTGCAAAAAAAAATACAGTTTCCTATGTTACTTTATTTATTTTTTAAAAATTTTTTTCAATTGACTTGTTATCTTCACTTTTTTCACTATCTTCACGCTTACTACATATAATTTATATTTCGTTTAAGGTTGAAGAATTTGAATCAGTATCGACAAAAGTGTGCTCTGCAAGTTGGGCCCCTGACTATCATGTTTTGTTACTCGCTTCTTCAGATACTTTATATTTTATAACACGTCAGTTCGATATTTTCAGTGAGCAGCCGTTGAATTCTTCAAAAGTTGGTCGAGGTTTCTTGTCTTTCTGTTTCATGTGGCAGTATATGCTAATATTTTGAGAGATCTCCGATATTTGGGAAAAGAATACCTTATTGATTGGTGATAAATATAACTTGACTTCTTTTTTTGCATATAGACTTCTTAGAGTTTAATGGCTGCGTTATAAAAGTAGAGATTTGATGTGACTATTTAGAAGAATTGATGACTCTTGGTTGGGGTTCGAAAGCAACACAATTTCAAGGTACAGGATCAAGAAAATTACCGAAAAAGGTTTTGGTTTTAAATCAAACTTAAAATTGCTGGAAATTCGGTGTTATTCCAATAATTCATGATTGATTCGTAAAGACAAATAAAGTATCATTTTGAAGGATGACTGTGAACAACCTACGGTTGTGAGTAAATATGATTCACATAAAGTATTGTTGGTGTGGAATGGAGATGCCAGCTATGTAGTTGTTAGTTATGTGGAATATGAAACTAATTTCCGTCATTTCTGTGTTTTCGATCACGAAGGCGAGCTTATCAGTCGTTTGCAGTATGCCAGTAACGTTGAAGAAGCACTTGCTTTCAAGTATTATTTGATATTTATTTCAGTTTTCATATTTGTTCTTTTGGAGCATTTTGTTTTTAACTTTTATTGCTCTTAAAAGTAATGTATCAGCTTTTGTTTCATGCAGAAGCAATCTTAAGTTTGTTTATTTTTAATAAGCAATAAGCACTGCCGCTGAATTATAAACGGGAAAGTTTGTAAATTATCATAAATATAGCAGTTTTAAAAACTGTAAATTTGAACTGCTCATATGGATATAACTTTTTTTTTGTTACGAATTTATTTGCATGTTATATCTTCTATTCTATTTTACTGTTAAATGAAGGTGATATATTTAGACCTACGGGAAACTTAATCGCCATTAGTCGGCTTAAAAATAATGCTCGGGAAATTATTTTTTATGAGCGTAATGGACAAAAACGTTCACATTTTGAGCATGGATCACGTCAGGAAATATTAATCGAGTGGATGGGATGGAACAAAACCGGAGATATATTTTGTACGTTGACTTGGGATTCCGAAAATGCTGCGCAGGAAGGTAAAATTCAAAGTTGGGAGTTTATTCTATACTTCGTTTATTCAAAATTTCTAGAAAAGGATTTTACTTTAGCTCAGTTCTGGTGCGTCAGCAATTATGATTGGATGCTTAAATATTCCATAGTATCTAGTGGTAAATTTTTGTTGGCTTGCTGGCATGAGAATAATGCCAATCAATTTTGCTATGTTTCGCCTAGTGGTCGAGCAGTTTTGATTGACTTCGACTTTGTATATGATTTTTGCGATGGAATTGTTTTATCCATAACAGGAAGTATGTAATTGGTCTTGGTCCCAAATAGATTGTTGCAGTTTTGATTCATTATATATAGTAGAAAGAAAGAACAGTTATTAATTTATTTTACAATTTTGAATAACTTTTCATCTTAATGAGATCCAATCCAAAATCTAGCTGTCTTCATTTTTGAGATGACAATCTGATTTATAATTTATGAAAGTTGCAGAATTTTCTATGCTTGATACTTGCATTAAGATTTTATCATGGATTTATATTATCGAAGACTTTTCTTTCTTAATTGGGGGTTTAAAAGCTACATTTTTTTCTTCAAAATGTGATTTTTAAATGGTTTTCAGATAAGGTCCGTGTAACTGATTTGAAATGTGCGCCGATTCCACCGCCGATGTGTCATTATGAACTTAAGTTTTCGAGTAGCGTATGTGAAATAGCACAGAACAGTGGTACTGCAGCTTTCCTATTGGGAAATCATTCTCTCCTTGTCTGTGTGTATTCATTTCTTTTTTTAAAAAGAAACTTGTGAAAATAATTTATGCTTTATTAATTACGTTTCAGACATTGATTGTTTCTCACTACAAATTTTTTACTTTTGGTTCTAAAGTACATGTCTTTGCAGATAAATTACATCAAGGGAGGTACGAAAAATATGGTGAATACGATACATCTAATTTTCCGAAGGATTGCATCTGTTACAATCTTTGTTTAGGCTGTTCAAATCAACTATCTGCTATTGTTGTTTCCTCCTTATATGATTTATGTACTTTTAAATTAAAAGATATAAATCGTGAGAAAAGGTGAATATTTTAGCTACCAAACCAAGTTGTTTTTTCGGAATCAAAGTTCATGAAATAAAACAGTACTGCCGAATAATTATAAAGTGTGCACAGTTAAAAATTGTCGTGATTACTAATTTTATCTTATTGACTCTCTATTATCAGTGTAATCATATGTACTTCGTAAAGTATAACATCTTCAAAATTTTAAGGCTAATTTTTTTTCATTAATTAAATTGCATGTCCATATTATGTTTTCTGTTTCAGCTTCTTATATTCTTCGGAAAAACCATTTATTTGGCACTGTTGCTTCAAGGATGGATTTGCACTGCAAGGAAATGATGGCAAATGGATTTCAGTGAGAGAAGACAGCAGCAGCAACTATATGGAAACTGATCTTTTCATTTCATCACCCTTACACCGCTGTCGTATCGCTTCGGTCAGAATATTACTTGTTGAAACGAGTGAATGATTGTGAAAGGAATGATTATTAGATTTAAAGAAATCTGAATGTTATTTACCTGATACGCTTTGGATGAATTCGTCCCAAACCATAAATTTTTTCTTATTATCTGTTTTTTTTAAACAAAAATTAATGTTATCGTCAGTTCAAAACAATGAGATTAATATATAAGTCAAATTGTCGCTTTTTCCAGGATAGTATTCTTGGAATCAATAAGATGAGTGACCTGGTTGTAAATGGCCACTCAATTTTGAAATACGTAGGATCATATACGCTGGATCAAAATTATCTTCTTTGCATAACATTTGATTCACAATCTGCATCGTCGAAATTACTGTTTAATAACTTGGAAGATGTTTTGACGAATCAGAAAGCAAATTTTAAAGCTAATCGCTCTGTTGAAAAAGGAACGTATTTAATTGGCCATGACGCCAATGGCTCTCGAGTATGGCTGCAAATGCCTCGTGGTTCATGTTCTAGATTTTTTTTCACTTATAGGAGCACTTACGTTGGTTTAATTACAACATCGTTTCATTTTCTTCAATTTTTCACAAATTGTCGGCAATTTTAATTTTTAGAAATTGAATTTTTGCTTCCTTGATAGTCATTGCAGCTAATTATAGGTAATTTGGAAACGATTCATTTGAGAGAGTTGCTAATTAGTAAACTCCAAAAATTGTTTGATAGTTTATGCTTCAAAGAAGCAGCCTTGATGATGAAAAAATACCGCATTGACATGAATTTATTTTACGATCATAATCCAGAAGTTTGTCTTTTCATTTATAGATAATATTACTGATTTCTCTTGCAAAGAAAAATTGCCATGAGAAGAAGCTTCTGTTCAGCATGTATGTGTCCCTATTGAAATTGCCGATTAAAAATATTAAGATGGATAAAAAAATTTTGCATACATGAAGTATGACTGCTATTTTCAAAGACTTAACCTTACTCAACTTATTACACTCATTTTATTATAGTTTTTCATGAAACATGTCCGGAAATTTGTACTTGACATTTGCTGTGCCGAATTATTGAATTTATTTGTGGCCAGTTTGAATAATAAGGATGTTACGCAGTGCATGTATTCGGAGATTTACAGCAATTTTCGTACTAAAACCTTTGTAAAGCAAAATAATAAGGTTTTTTTTCTTTTGAAAATGAAGAAGCCAAGAAAGTGAACTCAATATCTATATATGTATAATGAAATTAGTTACGTTTCTGAAGAAACACTGATGCGTGAGTTACAAGCTGCAGTTAATGGCTAAAAGCATATAATGTACTATTTTATTCAAGGTTTTGGGCGTTGTAATGTATTAAATTGAAGACTGAACAAATTTTCTTATAGTAAAGTAGAACTCTGTCGTATGATATGAGAATTTATATCTCAGATTTCAGATTCAAATTGTTTGTAACGTTCTTCGAGAGTGCATTTTAAGTCTTGATGATACACTGATTGAGAAACTCTACACTACCGTTATATCCACATATTTGAAAAGGAAGCCGCCACAAATTTCAGAAGCACTGATAGCGTTGTGGGAACAGTCACGAAAACGTACTTAGTCGAATTTATTGCTTTCGAAGTGTTTGAAGCCTAAGTTGAAGGCATTTCGTTGCTTGATTTCTGCGTTTTATTATAATTATCTTAATGACTCAGATATCATTTAAGAGAAGGATAAATCGCGTTTTTCAAAGATATATCTTGATTTAAATTCGTAACTGTTGCAAATCGAGTTCATAAATATTTGAAGGCAGAAGTTCGGATAATTATTTTTTGCTGTTCGTGATTTCTGCAGGAGTTGATTTATTTTACATGCATTTTTTAGTTTCCAATAAGAAGAATCTGGAAGAATGGATTTCATATGTTTCTTTGCTAGCTCCAAATGAAAATCTTTTCAAAGCAGCATTGTCAACGTATGATTTGAATATGGCTCTTGCTGTCGCTGAAATCTGCCAGATGGTAAAAATATGATATTTTTAAAAGATATCGAATGTAATTTTTCTTAAAAGTATGATAGTAGAAGTATGGCACAGTTAATGTTTTCTCTGTTTTGATTTATTCTTTATTCTTTAAATGCAATGATCATAGGTTGAGCTCTTTGTAGTGTATTTATTTTTCTGAATTTTATTTGCTTAAATGATCCTTGAATTCATAGGATCCTGGTGATTATTTATCTTTGATACTGGATTTTCAAAAACATTCACCTCCAGCTTACCAAAGATATAAGATCGACTTGTATTTGGGATCATACGTAGAAGCTATTCGAAATTTGTCAGAAGTGGATAATTGTTGGGAACAAGCTGCAGAAATAATTACACGACAAAATTTATATTCTGATGCGTTGATAGCGTTTCGAGGAAAAAAAGCTTATTTGGTAATTGGTGTAATTTTTTAAAATTATTTTCACCTTAACATTCATTGCAGTTATGTGTTCCGTCTATATATTATGAAAACTTTTAGTAGTAATTTATCTATATCAAATTGTAAAATTATTTTAGCAAGTATGTGAATTATGTGCCAACCACTTGATGCAGAAAAGACGTTTCAAAGAAGCTGCATTGTTGTTTATGCGTTCAAATAATATGAGTCAAGCACTGCAATGCTATCGTAATGCTCAAAATTGGGAAGAAGTTATTGAATGTGGACAGGCTATGGGTATGGATAAGAAAGCAATAGATAGTTTACTCCAAACTATGGTACCAGTTTATGAAAATACTGGAAAGTTTGCTGATGTTGCTGGAATTTTATCGTACATTAATCAGGATGTAGGTTTGATTTGCCTGACCTCATTCAATATTAATGAATCTCTTGTATGATGATACATGATGTTTGGTGTTTTTGTTTCTACTAATTGAAGATATGTGTTTGATACGATATAATACAAAAATTATAAACATGCCACTTTCGGATAGAGAGTATACTCTCGCTGAGCTTTCAATCAGATCAACATGGAAACAAAAAATTTACATTTTTTCAAAGTCAGTATTAAATCCTAAAATTTTTGGAAAATTTTCAGTCTAATAAGGTGCAGATATTGGAATATCACTGTAAAGCAGATGCTTGGGATAGAGCATTGAAAACTGCGTTTGGGAATCAAGGTAATTTGTTTTAAATATCTCTTCATTTAAAGAAACAATCGGAACTTAATTTCACCGAAGTTTGATTGCAAATTTCTTTGCTTTTTTTGTTTGTGATGTGAATTATTCTGATATCTTCGCAGAACTCACAAGGATTTTATGCGAAAGGGCATGTGCTCGTTGCAAACATATCTTGGAGGATGTACAAAATTGGGAAAATTTATTAGAGCGCTATTCTGGTCGTTTAGAAACTGTACGACAACAGAAAAAAGATACTGTGAAGTCTACTATTGAACAACTTGAAAATCATGATGTATCAATGTCTGAGGTATTTTCTTTAAAAATTTGGTCTAAAGGCTTAGAGCAACCAGTAACGATGCTTTTCCTAAAACAATTCAGTTATTTACTCCACTGTATTATCGTTTAAAATTAATCTTCACGATCATTCGAACCTTTGTACTTTATATTGACAGTGTGAAATTTTTTGGCTAGATATTTTAAGTAATGAATTTTGTCATGATGAACCAGCCAAAAATTTCGTAATTTCATAGGCCTTCAGTGAAGCATCTACTTCAGTAAGTATTACTTCGAACGCTTCATTCGCTTCTACGGCTTCTTCCCGTCGCCGAAAGCATGTTCAAAAGTAAGTCTAATAATTAACAGTCAATCAGCGTTCACTATTTGTGTAGCATATTTTCTTTTGCAAGTCGGAAATGCTCTCATTAATTCCGCTAGTACATTTATTTTAATAAGTTTTTTACTGATAGCAGCTTCAGTTCTTCACTTCGCTCATTCTTTTATTTATCTTCAGTTGCTTTTACAAAATAATTTTTTAGTTCTGTTTTTATTCATTTTTTTCCAAAATTTTTTTGCAATATTCGAATAATAAATGTATATACTTCTTGAAGAAAAAAAAAACTGTTAAAAGAAGGTAGTCAATATGAAGATGCCGCGCTTTTAAATGCTATGAAAGACATTATCGCACTTATTGACTCTTACCAAGGTATCTCTTTTTTTTTTAGCTGCAAACACTTCTAGCTGTTTTAAAAGACAGAAATCTTAAAAAAACAAAAAGGCAAAATTAAGGCGTTCTATTTTCTTCATTTGTATGAAACTGCATATTTGATACACAGTTTAGAATACCCTAAGCATTTATTTCTTTCTTCAGATGAATTGGCTAACCTCCTGCCAACATTGCTAACAACTGATGCCGTTGAAGAAGCACACTGTCTGCAAACTCGATTTCAAATATTAATAAACTTTGCTCGACGAATTGTCAGTGTAGCTTGGCCAACCTACCTCACTTCACATTTAATTCCAGGACCGCTCAGGGAAATCGTGAGTAAACCTTAGTATATTTTGATGCTGCAATTGGCGGAAAGTTCATATTTTGTTAATTTGTGAGCAATCATTAATTTTTTCATTTCGTATCTATCTTCAGTATCGCGATGAAGACGGTGCTATTAGGATACAAGAAAACAGTATGCCAACCAGGATAACTTTGGGTATATTTCAATAATTTTTAATCATTGAATGATGAGAGCGTATTTAATCCAGAGAATATATGCATAAACATGAGTTATTTGGGAGAGCTGCTAGGGACTCAAATTTAATACGTGTAATATCGTAGAAAATAGATAAAAATAAAACCATAAGTGGGTCTTTTTTCAGAATCAGAACTAATACCGCCAGTAATCAGAAATGTCATGTGGCAACTTAATATCTGTAGTTGATGCAACGAAGATGACTATAATGCCTTTAACAACTTTTATTATTTCATATCAAAATGTAACAGATTATCAGAAAATAAACTATCGCAACAAAAACGAGATCACAAAAGCAACTTCCTATACCTTCATAATAAAACATCTTTTGACACAAAGAAATGAAAATTGTGATATAATGATCGACAATTTATGCTAGCAAGTAATGCAATAATGAAATATGGTTTAACAATGCCATAGTGTCAGACTACACAGTCAATAATTTCTCTCTTTCTTAATATTATAAGCGATCAAAAAGTATTTCGAACATGCATTCTACGCAGTTTATTAGATTTTATTTGATTCCTTGGACATACGCTTGACTGCTATTTCATCGATACTTTCGCTTTTTCGTTTTGGCCGCACAATTTTCTTCTTTGTCAATATATCTGGATTCTCGAAATTATGTTTTCGTTTTCCTTCTTTAGAAACTTTCGGCTTTTTTACTAATTCTTCTGAGTTGTTTTTCTGAAACTTCTGAAACTAAGACGTAATCTTTTTAGAACGCAGAAATTAAGTATTTTGATTTAGGATGCAAAATTAATTTTTAACAAAAGGTGAAAGCTAAGCACCTTATGTAACTTTTTAAATAACTCGTTTCTGGTTATGGCTGAAATCATTCGAAACTATACATATACTAACTTCGCATTTCCTTTTTAATGTTTTTTCTTTGCTGTGCTTAACGTCATTCCACAAGGCTTCATCTTCACTGCTTCCATCATCGACGTCACTTTGCTGTCAATTGAAAGCTTTGATTTAAATACTGATTTCAGTCAAAATCAAGTGTACAATTTAATGACCTCAAATTAACTGTTTCTCAGTAACTGAGAATAACTGGATTTGGTTGGAGACGGATTTTGTAATGTCCCTACTTTAATTTGTTCCCAGTCGTCATCGACTTTTGTTTCTGGCTTTAATTCGTCGTTGATAGTTATAAGTGACAAATTTTCGCGAAGTAAAATACAATTCAAACGAGCTTTGCAGTAAACCTAAAAAATAATATAAATCAAATGAGGGAATCGAGGTGCTTCAAAAGTCATCCAAGTGCTCTACCCCCTCAAAAGTCCCTCTTTATCCCAAATGTAAAAGCTAGTTCATGACAATCAAAAAATTCGAAAAGTCCCCAGAAAAAAAAGAATGTTGGTGAAGTTGGAGCAAAAAAAAAGTTCATAAAAGTAATTTAACTGTCGAGACTAGAATTCTATACGACTCTAACGGTATAATGACATAGATTACTATAAAGATTCGTCAGTTAAAATAATCACTTTTTGAATTAGTTTCTTTGAACTGAGATCATGCAGCCTTACAAAACGATCTAAAGAACAAGACGCAATGTAGTCAGCAGATTGATGTGCGTCAATTCCACTGATACATCCAGCGAATCCCTTGTACTTACATACCATATGTACTAAAACAAATTGACGGAGAACAGTAGTGATAATTTTATTAAATTATGCACCAAACAACAGTTATATTGAAATCGATAACTTCACTTGGAACTTGTAAGTATGCTATCTTCCTATAATTACACAACCAGTCAATTATTTTTTAGTTACTACTACTTATCCTGCTTATTGTAATTAAGTGTAAAACCCAAGCACAGAAACAAAAAGAAAGAATCGGAAATTTACTTTTATTTCTTAAATCAAATAAACCCATGTCCCCGCGACTGTTTCCAACAACTAACTGCATATCATTGCGACAAAGTGACATTGCAGTTAAAGGCTCTTCAGCCCATTCCATTTCTTTGATAGGCCTTCGTTGGGTTCGAGGATCATATAATCGTATCTGGAATCTAAGAGTAAAATAACTATAACACATATTATGAATTTTTCGCACTTTCATATTCATGATCATAAAATATTTTGGTTACACAATCTTTACTAAATATTAAAAACTATTTCGCCTCTGCTAAATCAAATGAGATCTAAAACTGCTGGCACAATCACAAAATTTCTGCAGCTACTGCAGTCTACTTTTTAATGTCAATGGTTTAGAAATATTTGAAAAAACAGAGCTTTTTACCTGATGCTCACCCGTGACTGTGACAATACTTTGAGATTTGGGTATAAATCTTATACCATTCACCCATACTGGAACTCTTAGCTGAAATTCATCTGGTCGTACATTCTTGGCTAGAAAAATTCTTTCTCCTTTCTCTACATCCCAAACTTTCAAGGGATTTTCTTTACCACCAGTTGCATACTGTTCTTCTCGTTCACAGTTAGGCACCATTACAATTAAATTACTGCCTGCATTCAGCTCTTTGACAATTTTTCCTCTTGATGAAGAAACAGAGATTTCACCAGATTCAACAGCCGATATATATACACCTCTAGAAATTACTTCAAATCAAAAAATAGTCATGAAATTAATGCGACTAACAGAGTGAAATTTTCAAATCAAAAATTTTGAACTAACTGACATAAAGTCACACTACAAAAAGGAAAAATAATTGCACTCTCGTACTACACTAAAATTTAGTTCCGCGATATATTGACTTTTGTAGTTATCCTCTTGGGATCTCTGTAATCACTCACAACTATTTTCAAGTTTAGTAAGAAATTGGTGACAAAAAACATCTAAAACAACATACGACTTCATTTTTTTCACTCCTTTAACAGCACCACTCCCATTTCCTACAGCAAAAAGTTCGGTATAGGCGTTGGATGTAGTGTCAAATAATTTAAGTTGCTGATTCACTTGAGCTACCAAAAGTTCAGTCTGTAAGGGCAGCATTCTTATAATTTAGATACAACTGCAACAAATTTGACTGAAAAAACTATAACCTGGTCTTCGTCCGTCCAACTCATACATGCTATTGCATCTTCTTGCGGTTTTAGAGATGAAATTTGACTAATGTTATTGAATGCGCTTTCTTTAAATGAAATACCTGAAAAATGTCCAACTTCACCTCTTATCGAAAACTTTTAACTTGCGACTATTGAACTAACTGAACTGAAAACATGATACAGTAAGTTTAAGCTTTATACAAATTTGAATGTAATACAACTGTTTCACATACACTCAAGAGAACTGAAACCCCAACTAGCAATCGTACTAAAATATACCCTGAAGACCTGGAATAACTTAAATACTTCCCAAACACCAACACGAAAAGATCATAACACTAGAAAAATCTACCGACTTACTTTTTAGCGCACCTGTAGAGGCACCAACAAAACAATCCATTACTCCTGTAATGTTGGGATCCTTAAGAATTATGATACTGACCAATAGATTCCTGTTACATACTTAAGCTCATTTTCCTTAAAGTAATGGATAGTCATGCAAATGACTTCCACCTACAGAGATATTTCAAGTAACAAAGACTTTAGACCTTCACAGAACTCGAGTAATAGAAGTCAAGGAACCTTAAAATAAACTATTTCCAATGTAATATGTTGCCAAGCTGTTTATTATTGCATGCAAATCTCTTGCAGCAGCAAGAAGTTAAAAATTAATGAAAGTATCAGTTAAACAGAATATGCAGCATCTTTTATTAACAACATTATAATATGCTGAAATTCAGCACTTCTTTATCCACAAAACAAAACAAAAGAACAAAGCATTTAAGCAAAATGTGTTCTTGGACGACGAGTGGTAAAGATGGCAGCATTTTGTCTCTTAGGAATACGATGCGGTAATGGGAAGCTAATCTTCGAATTATGGAACTGCTTCACTGCTGCTCTTTTACAGTCTGATGCTTTGATAACTTGAACTTTGATGATCTGAAAACCATCCTAATATTAATCCAAACCTAAGAGAACATAATCAATTGTATAATTTCAAATTATTGAATTCTTGAAGTATATGCTAAGCCCTTTCAGATGAATTGTTTAATCGCAACATGGTCATATTTCATGGTTGAAATAAAGACCTGAATTCTATCTGCTTGTGCTCGATGGCGTGCACCCATGTCCCTATAACATTGCGTAACAGCTCCAGCAATAGTATTGTCTCGATATTCACGATACATATTATGATGGTTTGTTCGTGAGTCATAACGAAGCCATATGCCATAATTCTTGATATAACCAGGTCTCTTTTCAAAAACCTAGAAAATATATGCATTGAGAAACCAAAAAGCTCAAGCCCACATTCCACGCTGATATATTCTTAAACTGACCATGAAAGGAAACGTACTGAATATTTTACTTCCAAAAAATTTCTACGAAGTATAATAGTATCAGTTACAGAAAGTTATGGTGGATCCATAAATAATTGAAAACCACAGAAACATCTAAGACATAATATACTCACTTCCTTGCATTCTAATATCTCCCCATTGGCTTTCTTTACTCGTCTTAACATACTAGTAAAGTACCAAAATCTAGATTTTGCAATAACATGATTGGAAGCAAAAATTTGCATCTTGTAAATTGGTGGATTTGGTTCTTTCTCAGATGGAAGCTTACGCCCAACCACAATAAACTCTCTGAGCTGAAAGCAGTTATTATGATTATTAAAATTACCAACAAAGAAAAAAATTGTGGTCAAATGAAAATTCATTAAACAAAGAGAAAATCTGTAGTCAAACAAAAATCTATTAAATATTTTACAAAAACAATTCAATATCAATATTTTAGCCTCGGTCACTTAAGATTTTATATGAGTCATCCTTTAGCACTCATATTTCCAGTAAAGAGTACTTTCAGAAAAATTATAGCTTTCTTTTTCATCACATACAGAAAATTCTAGTTGACATGTTTTGAAAAAAAAATAACTCTCACCGTTTCTCCTTTTGACTTCGTAGGCATCTTTTATATATTACTGACCTGTAAGTTCAAGCTATTATTATTCATACTCGAGGAACTATGAAATATGCTTCGAAAATAAATACGTGACAAATCCAATAGAAAACAAAAATGGATCATAGTATTAAGCATTTTTATGTCATTTTTTGGTCTAAAACCTAGATAAACACAAAAACAAATCTAAGCAGCAAAAACTAGGACACTGAATTTCGAAACTGTTGAAACATTCATTGAGGCGATTTAAAATGAATAAGGTGGAGATCCTTCTGAAACACTTTTAGGTCCAAGCACTTTTATTTCTAGTGAAGACTACTACTAGAAGACCTATTGTTATATAATGCTCAAATTATTATAATTTGACTCAAAATAACTCTGCGAATCTAGCATAGGATATCCCTATAGCACCAAACAAAACGTTAAGTAACTCTCAATACCCTTGTACTGCATAACTTGATGTTCCTCAATTCATACATAAAAAACAGCATCTATTCTCACTGCTTCATTTTTCTCATCACCCTAAACGATCAAACCAGCTGGTCGCATACCATGCATCTCAGTATAGCACTTATTTTAAGACCGAACCGCTACATTACAAGTCTTTAGAAGTCTCCTTTATTCTTGCAGTCTTTTTTAGATAATTTTTGATCTATTAGATTTGACTTAGTACACGTAATGTAGATGCGCGCTGAAAATGGGTGTAACAGAAAAATTCAAGAAACGTAAGTATTATGCCAAATTTTAATGGAAAAGCAAAGTTTTACTCCGTCACTACACCAAAAATTTGATGACAAAAAAACTGATTTCTTACGTGAATTAAAAGATAAAACTTTTGTGCAAAAATAATTAAAGCTGTATTGTAAAGATTCTCTTAAATAATTTGTCATATTTTTTAATTTTTTAATTAATTTAGTAAGTATCAGTCCAAGTGTGAACGGGATGATTAGTCGAATTGTAGCTGAGAATGATGTTTTCTACCGACTAGAACAACGTAACACACCAGATCTAACGCTTGAGGAAAAAAGGTTTTTTGTTTCGCTGAGAACTTAAATATCTCTAAGAATTTAAATTTTTTGCATGGATATAAATAGGAATACTTGCTATCGAAGTTTTCAATATATGTGCGATGTATCTCAAAGTTTGTGGCAGAGCTCGAATTGATTTCTTGTGGAAGTACTGTTTGCATTTTAGAGATTTTCTGGCAGATTTGTATGTTAGTGACCCACGTTTGTTTCTGCGTCGTTACCATGAATATCTGTCGCCGGAGGATTGTGATTGTTTTGATGATGATGATTACGAAAACAAATTTTACATGAAAAAGATCATTCAAAAGTCAGAAATTGTCGACATTAAAAAGCACGATGTAATTTTATCTCACAAATGTTTTCTGGTTATTCAAGCATTCAGATTTGCACTACGGTCAAGATGTCCACTTTCTTCTTTGAGCATTTTATTGTTTGGTTTCGAAATTATACGTTTGCAACACTAGAATGTTAAGACTCTAGACTGTGTGCTTCATTCAGACAAGAAGTGTTTGAATATTTTATGCACAATAATTATTGTTACATTTCAAAATTTTCATTAAAAAGAAGTTATCTCTATTTTATTTGGGCGCTTTTAATTATTCAAAAACAAAGTCCCTTTTTTTAGAACTAGTACTATCTAACTTAGTATAAAAATTAACTTTGGCTTCTTACTTTCTATATTTTCTCCTTTCAGGAAACGAAGTTTCGAAATAAGCGTTACGCAGAATTATTACGATTGAAGAAGGAAACAGATTATTTCACAGATAAAAAAATGCGAGAACGAGAGCCCCTTTTATTTGACAAAATGATTGGACGATTTTTACCTGAAGAAGAGCAGTTCTATCTCAGACCTACTATTGAGAATGAATCTCTCTCTGGTGTATTTATGCAATTTGAAGATTCGCAAATTATTTCGAATCGACGTGCTGCTCAGCTTAGTGAATGGAATGAGTTTTTAAAGGTAACAACTGTTATAATAGCAGTTTTATTTGAAGTAGTGTATAAAAAGTGTAAGTTTATCGGATCAGTTTATGGTTGCTTCAGTAGCACATGACTTCTGTTTCAGACAAATGGCGACAATAACTGCGAAAAACCTAAATTGGGTAAATTGGGTAGTATTGCACATCATGCCAGTAATCGACTCTTTGAAATTGAAAGTAACGAAGCTGACGAGATGAAACCAGAAACTTGTTTTTCTGCTAGTGATGACTGCCAGCCAAGTTCGAGTCGCAGTGAAGACCAGGAATCAGCTTCCGAATCATCCGAAGATGGCCGTGATCAGGAGCAGTTAAGAGCAGATTTCATTGATCATATGGAGCAGAGATTTTTGAGTGGTTTGTTTTTTTTTTTGTTTATTGATATTCTTGGTTCTGACAACATAGTCACTGTGTCATTCTTCCCAGCTAACAAAGTTTCTAATCACGAAAATTAATAGTTTTGGTGTTAATTAAATTTCAATACTATGGGTGACAGCATACTTTTAGGTGAAGACAAAGAGTTTTACGATTATTCTCGCATCGACAGCTGCACAACAAAGGAGTATGAAAAAATGCATGATCAAGATTTGGAAGATGCATACTTTGAAAATGATTAAATTAGATGTTTATATTTTTAATTCAGATCGTGCAGCTAATTAGTGTAAAATACTTTTGTATATTCATCGCAAAGTTACGATTACTGACAGGAACCAAAATGGTCCGTTTGACATAATTCCTTAGATTCATGTATTAGTATTTCTAAAGTAGATTTTCAGCTAAACAGTAAGTGGCTTGTGAATCTTCGCTTAGTAATTATACTTGTGACATATTGTGAAGGTTTTTTGGCAAATAAATGGCGAACTTTATCCTTATCTCGTATTTTTACATTAATTTAAACAGCATTCAGACTATTTACGAGGAGGTGGGCCATACGATTTGGTACCAAAAGCCAAGGCTATTGGGATTTGGATAATGATTGATCCTAGTATGTAACACAGTTGAGCTTCTCCAACTCCATATGATTTGTTCTTCATGAAGTATATTACAACCTGAAGGTCAGAATAGGATTTCTCATAATCGAAGAGGTACTGTTGATATATTTCATGTTCTAAAAGTGGTAGAGATTTACGTTTCAGGCATATTTGCATTAATACCTGGAGATGAATAGCAAGAAGTGCAGCTTGTGCAAGAATGGACAGAATAATGCAGAAAGACAGGCCATGGATCATGCCGAAGGCTGCAGCTATTGCAGCGCCAACACCTGTTCCTGTAGCTATCAAGGTCTGTCGTGGAGAGTATATCGTTTCAGGAGTGAGTTCTGGATCTATCTGTTTAATTTGTATTTATCAGTAACGAATAATTAAGAAGCTTAGAAAGTTCATTAAAAAAAATTCGGACTCAAATTACCGCTAGGGCTAGAACAAGTGGCTGAATGAAATTGATGGATGGAAGAGTCGAGATCAGTCGATATGCAATCATATGACCTAGGCATGAGCCAAGAATGAGTGCAAGTCCAAATAAATTGACTCGCCGTTCAGTGTCATCCAATGCTGGAAAAGTGGAAGGGAACGAAAATTTTTTCCCTACTGAAAAGTAAATTTGCTTATTTTTCTAATTGAAATCTTTAATTCCATCAGTTACCAGCGTTTTTGCGAAAAGTGAGATAAGTCCGATAAGGAAGCAAGATCGTAAGTAATAGTTCCCACCACCAGTCAAATACTTTCTGATATATTATACCTAGGACAAGTGCACCTGATATTTCTCCTGAAAGAAGCAAAGCATGTTAGAAATGAAATTCATAATATTTTTATTTTTGAGTAGAGAAAGGAAAAATATTTTCGATCACTTCCAGTTCTCAGCATTGATTTCACGCTCAATTACCTGCACTAATTCCAATTGAAAGGACGGAACAGCTAAGATACAATTCCAACAAGTTGTTACGGAATTCTTTATCGTTTGCATCTAGTGAGGTCATATCTGATATTGCAGTTTGAAACTGAAGATATCTTTTTTTTTTCAGTTTTTTCCAATATTTTAAAATTTTCGAAAACGATGAAATGTCTTCTATTACCTTAGAAGTACTCAGGTTATTTGCAAACTTGTTAGAAGTGGGACTTTGTGAATTTTATTTTTAATGCATTAGAAATCGCAACACTCCTAAATTAAAACAGTATTTAGTAAAAAATGTTTTTGAACATACACTTTCGGAAGTGTCGTATACAACTGGTTCGACCAATTCACGAGCTCTATCTACCAGTTTTACACTTCTTTGTCCCATACTTATTACACCGTCGTACATCTAAAATTTTGCTCTAACTTTCATTTAGAAATATACAGGTGGTAAAATACAAAAAGTAAATGAAGTGGCCAGACAATTTTTTTTGAGTACAGCTAATAAGGTTTTTCATGCTTGCTAATAATACATTAAATGATGGAGATTTTAAGTTAATTTTTATTTAAATGTGAATAAGTAGTAAGATAAACCGCAAGACATCGACGCCGCATTGTTTCCACCGTTGTTTCAATTTGCTCGACATATCGGTATGCCACTTCCATTATTGCTGTACTTTTAAAATTTACAAACTTATGAAACTTTATTACAATTGCAATAATGGATTGAATATTTGGATCCAAATCTGATTGTTAGGATCAAGTAAATTCTAGATTAAAACAGAAATAACTCGTGAACATAAGAGTAAGCTTTTTCATTGTAGATGATAGATTTTAGAGTGATAATCATCGGTTTTCTGTCTTATCACTGGTACTTCCTCAGGATCATATTAATTAAAGTGGTGATATGAACTTGAAGCTGATTTGTATACTCACCAATCGAAGTAAATTCACTGAACAATGAAAAATTAAAGTATAGAATGATGCATTTTATACCAATTCATATTTATATGTAAATATTCATTTTGTTCTAAATTTATTTGCATTCATAATTTTTTCAGCTAATTTTTCAAAGATTTCGTCGTTTGTTTTGTTCATTGCACGTGTTAGAATACTAGCATATATGAAAATTGAAATGGTACCGATTAACATGTGCAAAAAGTTAATTTAAAATAATACATTTTATCAATTCACAGATAAGAAATATTTATCGCTAAACTTTAAATTTAATTATTTATCACGATTTACTAGTTGCAATATTTATGAAGAAAACATAGTAACAGGGGTTATTTCACTTCAATATTGTAATATTTGCGAAACATTTTCCGCCTTCATAACGATCGTAACTAGATTTAACAAGAGATTGTTCCCTTTCGTCGACATGGTAGTTCTTTGTGGCAGATTTGGTTTTTTGAAAAAATATACAGCATTATCTCCGGAAAGTAATACTAGTTTTTGTCGACAAGATTATTATTCGATTTTAACCAAAATTTCTCACTTCTTTCAATTATTCTTTTTTCAGTCTAAAAATAGTTTCCAAAGAAATAAAAATGGCTTATAGTAAGATTATGAATGAACAGTTTTTCTCATTCGAAATTACTGAGCTTAATTCAGGATATTTTGATCTCATATAGAATATTTAGAAATATTTTAAATGAAGCTTATTGGATGTAATTTTAAATCAGTGTAAAAGATCCATTATTATTGCCATACTTTATCTATATTCTGTTTTCTCAGGTGTAACGTAAAGGTATGATTTCTTGCACAAAAAAAAGTTATCATGTTCTGAACAGAAGTAAGTATAAGAAACTGAACTGAATAGAATAATACATACCTGAAAAGAAGAGAAAGCCAAAAACGGCATTAATTAATAGTTATTGTCATGCATATGATTTAATATAAATAGAATTTTGAGGAATTTAGTACATTTAAGTGATATTTAAATATAATTCAATATCAGAATTTTGTGAAACTGATGTGTAAAAACTGTTTACAATAAAAATAAGATTAATTTGTCAACCGAAGAGTGCCAGGCTCAAGTCTAAAACATTTGAAGACCACTGCCTAGTAGCCTTGTCAAGAGCGTGGCCAATTTTTACAGCACCTGAGATTAACGAATCAGTAGCATTTAATGCTAATTGGCCAATTTTAAGTTTCTCATCCAGTTGCTTTTGTGAATATTGCCTGGATGAAATAAGAAAACTTAATTTAA